GCTGGGGGCTCTTGAGTATGCTCTCTTGAGGGGAGGTCGAGGAACTGAAACAATCGATGCTTGTTGGTGAGTCGATTGCTGGGTTCTTGCTGTTGTTGTTCTTGGCGTTGCAGTTGTTCTTGCTGTTGTTGTTGTTGCTTGAGTCGATTGGGTAGTTGCTTGAGTGGATTGCTGGGTTCCTTGAGTGGATTGAGTTTGTTGAGCAAGCTGAACAATCTGGTGAGTTGCAGCCTCAAGCTGAGTCGGTGTCTCCTCCTCACGACGTGGAGTGAGGAGGAGCTCAGCAGTTTCATCTTGGGTAAGTTCTTGTGTAGGCTGTGTAAGTTGCGAGGGCTGTGTAAGTTGCAAGGGCTGTTGAAGAGGTGGAGGACTTGGGGACTCATTTAGTATGTTTTGTTGACTACCTAGCACTAAAGTGGTGTAATCCTCATTAATCGTGTATCCTTCTTCCAGATCAAACTCCTCTTCCCCATCTCCAATCGCTGCCTTTGCACCAAGCAACAGCTTGATCTCCTTTGCAAGCTTGATCGCTGGCGACATATACGGATTCCMAGTAGGAATTTGTTTCCTGTGGAGGGAGGAGTACTTCCTGGTCATGGAGTCCCTGTCTCTTCCAGTCCCCCAGTTCTCATGATGGGTATCAACAACAACTTTCCATTGTTCTGGTCCAATAGGAAGGTACTTCCTCATGAGTCCCAGCATGTCMATGGTCTCCTTATAGCTGTAGTTGGTAGAACMCCTTGATCTTCCTCCTTTTTCCACGGCCACGACAGTCCTTGTCGTGGAAGAAGAAGCTCCTGCTCCTGTCGACCTTCTTGCAGCTGTTGCTGCTGTTGCTGGAGCTGTTGCTGGAGCTGGAGSTCCTGTTGCTGGAGCTGGAGCTGGTGGAGCCATGCTGATCCTTTTGTTATGAGCCAGGAGCGAGGAGGGTATGCTAATCACACATGGGATTTCGATGTCTTCTTCCCTCTCAAGAGAGCGCCGGCTCTCTYCCCTCCTCCTCTTAGCAAGCCGCGCTTGCTGCTGCATCCTCCACAACAGAAGAATCTGGATGCTTGTATTACAATTAAGTAGAGGGCTCCACGCGCCAACCATCCTCAGCATTGTTTATCTTTGTTCCTTGTTCCTTCTCCTCTTTGTTGTTGTTCCTTCTCTTTGTCATCATTCTTCCTTCTCCTCTTTGCTGGTGTCGAAGAAAAGATGTGCTTTTTTCATGTGCTTTTTTCTTGACACTTGAATCGAAAGTTTGGCGCCTGTTTAGGGCGCGCCTGCTCCCGAGACTGGAAATGTTAAGTCAAGGATTCCGATGAAAAAATATGTCAATTACATAAATGTTKGTAGTAGAGGGCCCACTACTACCAAAATTTATGTTTTTTTTTACATAAACCGAGCCGGGCGTGCCAAAAAGTACACAGATATATGTTTTCGGGAATGAACCAATGTCAAGCGCACCAAAGTAAAGTTATTGGCAATTCCCCGGGTGTCAATTTTTTTCATTTTCCCTGTCTTTATTTCTCCTCTCCCCCCCCCCCTCCACACAAAAAAACTACCCCGAAATAATATTTCTATTAGCGGTCCTTACTACTGGGGATATAAAATCAGTGCTTACTACTTGAGAATCACCAACAGAACGACCCCCTTACCCAGCAGTTTGCAGTGTTCACTACTATGGCATCCCAACTAGTAAGTAGTAATGGAGGTGATCAAGTAGTAAGCACTAATATTAATTCTCAAGTAGAAAAGGACTGATTTTATATCCTCCCCAGTACTAGTAAGGACCACTAATAGAAATATTTTGGGACCAGCGAGAAATTAAACAATGGAAATATTTTTATTTTTGTCCGTTGGATGCCTTTTTTAACTGTAAAAATGAGCTAAAAATTTCTATTAGTATTGGTACGGGGATTGCCAATAACTTTTTGACTTTAGTGCGCTTGACAGCATAAGGAGTTCTCACGAGTATCAGTGAATCGGTAATAAAATTAGACCTAGTAGTACCTAGTAGAATTTATGATTTTTTGTCACCCACTACTACTAGTACTGTAACTTTGGCTGACTAGTTCTAAGCCGCCAGAGCATCCTTTGGCTTCCCAACACCATGGATCTTGAAGTACCTAGAAATATATACTAGCAAGAAGGAATGTGTTTATGCAATCATCAAGTGTGCTGGTAATGAATGTAAAGCATTGGTCTATCCCCCAACAGAAGAAGACCAAACACAGGTGGCATACTGAAGGCTACTATTTAAATGATACAGCAAGCAGCACTGCCCATACAGCTGAGGAGAGACACTCACTGATTAGTATAAAAACACTGGAGCCTACTGTTGTCAACTGTTGAAGAGATCAAAATGATTTTTTTACACTTTCCTAGTACAATCTCCACTCAAAATTATCATAGAATCAAGCAAATCAAGGGAGTACACTGCTAGTAATTTGGCTCAAAATCAATTGGTTTTGACTGCTTGTTCAAAATCCTACTGGAGTCTAGTGTTGTCAACCCAAAACTGACTGGTGAGCAAACTGCTCCTGGAGACCAAACTGGAGTTTTTAAATTCCCTTGTACAAACTGGTGTCCACAAAATGATTATAGAGTCCAGCAAATCAAGGAATATACTGTTGATGTTGCTCAAAATTGTTTGTTTTGATCTCACTGCAGTAAATGTACTGTACTAGTATAATCTACTGCAAGAACACCTTAAAAACTGCTCTATTCTTTGATTGTAGTTGATGTGATACATACCCCCTTCTTTTTCAAGTCTCAACTAAGAAGTGATAATAGTGACAGCTGCAAAGCATCATATTGTTCTATGTTTGCCTATCATGTTATCCCTTTTCCTCCTTTCAGTGCAACAGAAAGAAGCATTCAGTACATTGAATATCTTCAGTCTCCCATTCATATGTTCATGTCTTCCCTGAATGATTGACTTTTCGTGTTTTCTTTGCTTGCTGTATATCCCTTGGTTTTGGGTCTTTCCATTCAATGTTCCCCTCAGTTCACCACTATCAGCTTCGGCCATTTCCTGGTCCTCAAGCCTTGTTGTTGTTGCAAGCTCAGAATCAAAGATGCATTTCTCAGAAATGTCACCAGGAAAGGGAACATTGATTCAGAGAATATAACTTGTTTTGATGCATATTATTACTTCTTACTATATCACTGGACCATTAAACTTCTCTAAATACATGTCAGTATTAAATGGATACGGTTCAAAGCATGGGCAATCTGTCCAGTCCACAGATAGCATACAGTCTGCTCTAGACAAGTACTCCCTATCTGGTAATTGAGGTTGACAAAAAATCTCCTGTTCTCCCATACAATCACTTGCTCTTGCAGCTCAAATTTCTTTCTCACGCGTGCTACTACAACTACGCTACCACTCTACTTGTTACACCCCACTCGGTGCTGCAATAATAATAATAAGAAAATATAACTAGCATAAACATTATTACTCATGTAAAACCCACTACTAAATCTGGTGGTTGAAGTTATTCTAATGTTCTTTAACACAGAATAACATTGGAAAAAAGAATGAAGTCAGCAAAACACTCAAAATTCACCAACCTTTCGTTAGAAAAATATTCGAAAAATCAGTTTTGAAATAGCTATATTGCTGGGCGAAGAATTCAGGCCCAATCTTCCCTACCGAAAATATGATTAGAATCTTCTTGATCTAAATTAGCCAAGATCAGAAAGAGATGCTTCAGACAGTCCGAAAGGAGCTGGAACTCGACGTTGATGTTTCCATATCCTCGCAATCCACTTCTCGTCAATTGCCGGCATCCCCTCGTGTTCCGTTCTTGGATCAAACTGTCCGTTGCGATCGGCTGGAAAGAAAAGAAGGGCATCGCCCCGCTTGGGCTGAATGATAAGCTTATCTTCATCCGCACTGGTAATGCGATCTCTATCGACGTCTCCGATCGCAGCGGAAGAGCTCAGTTTTCCGAATCTAGTCAATCCCCCCCTCTCGACGTCGTTAAGATACACCAGTAATGTCGCCAGTGTCTGTCCTCCTCGGTTCGCGTCTTCTGTTTCCGCAGATCGGTTTGCATCATAGTGAGGCGCCAAAATTTGATCAGGTTCGTACCTGATTACGGTGGGTGCCTCAAAAAGAGCAGCTTCCGACACGATCGATGTGTCGAAGTCCTCATTGGAATGGAAAAGTTTTGAAGCTTGGCGCACGAATTCCCGTGCCCCACTAGATGGATTAGTCATATCGTCTAATGTTGTCGAAGTGCTCGTTCTCAAGGCTTTCAAGCCCTCGGCTCTTGAATACGTAAATCCCCCAATGAGAATTGTTGTTACCACAAAAACAACGGCGTAATTTTGCAGGGCATGAACTACCAAATCAACCTGACCACCTCCACTATTCTTGACTTGAAACCAAGAACTTAACAATGCGATCCATGCAATAGGTCCTTTACTCGAGAGCTCCACAAGGTCCTTGAAATCCTCAGTCCAACCTGCGTAAGCCACTGGGGATCGTACCAATTTCTTCTCAGAAGCCTTATCAATCAAATCCTGACAGTAAGAATCGTCAAGAAAGTTTTCGATTACAAAAATATCGGGATTTGCATAAATTTTCTTAAGGCCTGGAAAACCTTCATTTATCGGAACTCTTGGACCCACAATATTAGTAGGCATTGCCGTTGAATGCATGACATGATGTTGACGTTGAAGTTGATTCCGGCCACACTCCAGATGGACGAAGGCCATCGCAGGTAGAAGCGCAATCAACACGAAAACAAATAAAACAATGAAGTGCTTCATTTCAACCCTAGCATTCCGATTGCTGTTACGTTGTATGTATGTGAATTGAAGAAGGTGTTTGATGTCTTCTTGATGTCGGGACGAAGGATGGTGATGGTACGAGTGGTGTTGTGTGATCATCTACCACGGTTCACGTAAGAATGCAAGGTTATTTTCTGTCGGGCAGCTTGGTTCGATACGAGAACGAATGAACACGAATGCAGGGGTATGGGCGTACGATACCAGTAGTACTACAAGTATGTACTCGTAGTATTGCAAGGTCAACGTCGTTCGGTTCCTTGCTCTGGGATTTTCGAGAAAAAAAATCCAGACTACGTACTACCGGTACATGGAGGTGTGCGTGTACGGAAGCTACATATTCTACCCTACGTACAGCATCGTACGTACCCCACGTAAGGCAATCAATCAACAAGGTTGGGAATCTTTTGGAAGACTGACGATGGACAGAAGCATCTCTAACCACCATTAAAAATAATGATGGCAAACAAAAAGAGAAAAGAGTCCGAAATCTGAAAACGCCGACATCAGCCACAGCAGAGACAACCTCTCGACAGTGAAATCTTGACAACGATAGCATGCACTGTACTGAGAGAGTTACGTAGGTACAAGAAAAAAAAACAGTACCAGAACCGATGAAGCGTTCGAATGGAACGTAGCACAAAATCCAACAGCTGAGTTACTTTCACACAGATACATAAACAGAACATCAAATGGACTGAGGATGAGGTTCAATTGACATAAAGACTAAGACCGACGACGTCAATTGCCACTGGTCAGTACGCGAGGGAAATGAATCGATCATGGTACGTAAGAAGACGAAAGAATTCGCATCCACGCTCTACGAAATCTCGATCGTCCAAGTGAGGGTTGGTTGACTTGATTCTTCCTAATGAAATCTATAAAATTAAACTGATATAATGAGGCGGAATTGAATTTGTCGAAGAAACCTTACTATGGTGAAGGAAGAATCAGTGAAACCATGACCAGAATATGCTTTGATCTCCCCAGATGATGACTCCAATCTTAGGACACCTTCAGAGACTTCAAATGTTGTCTGTGAGAAGAATTAATAAAAGTTATTCGTACTGTCAGATGGGATAGATCAAAGAAGTTACTGGTTGAGAATGTAAGGAGTGATGAAGAGAAACTTGTGACCATTGACTACTGGCATCGGACTTTTCTTAAGATTGACGATCCTTTTTTACACAACTTTAATATACACTGAACTCCGAAGCAATCCAACTGAACTTTCCTTAAGAACTGATTGTGGATATTCCATAGCAACTTAATATGTTCCATCCGATGATTGATCTTTACTTACAATTTTGTATAATCGAATTTTTCCCTTCCATAACAGAAACTGCATGGATTCTGGCTTTAGCTAGCATCATGTGAAGCCGGCCCAGAATATTACAAACTTTGAACATCCAGACCAAAGTCGCTTTACACACATGGAACCAGGCCGAAGTTGACGAAAGCAGCTGATGGTCCGTTGATGGTGCCATTTTAGTGCCGTTCCAAAACTAACCGGACACCCAACACTATTTATTTCAAGAGTTTCGTTGGTCATCCAATAGCTAGAGGCAAGTCTCGACACTGGATTCCATCCGGCTTTCTTTTGTTTTCGACATGATCAACAGCACGAAAGAAGACTGGCTGGAGCCATAGAAAATGAATCACTGTAATACGTTTAAGGCACAAAGTAACAACAGTTGCGTACCTTTCTTGATCTAGTCAACACTTGTCAGAATTTTTTACAACTCTTCCATCATACCTGCAAATGAGACAGTCTAAAAATTTTGCCTGTTTCGACTTCAGACACGATATCTTAGAGATCTTGTAACGTAGAAAGAAGATTTAGTTTTGTTGATCACATTACATAACAGATGGTGTTTAAAATTTATGTCTAGTACCGAGTCCCCAGATATGGAGAAGAGATTTACAGAAGATCCTTCTCGAAGGCCAATTCTTCTTCATCGGTATCAAGATCGATACCATCCTTGATCTTCTTCTTAATTCTCTTGACCAGGGCCTTCTCTTCCTTCTTGGAAAGCTTCTTCGGACCTGTTTGGACTTCGACCTTGTTTCCTGCGGCATCAGTCATTTCTTGGAGTTGCTGTTGATCATCAATCTTGGTGTCCTGCTTAAGCATCCAATCGGCATCACCCTTCGTCTCGAGGTGACCGGCGTCCATGACCCAGGTCTCAGGACAAAGAGTAGAAACGAATTCGTTGTTGTGCGAAATAATGATAACACCTCCCTCAAATGTTTCAATGGCATGAGCAAGTCCTCCCAAAGATTCACGATCAAGGTAGTTTGTGGGTTCGTCAAGGATGACAATGTGGGGCTGCATCCACATGGCTGCTGCGATGACAACCTTCACCTTCTGTCCTCCAGAGAGGGCAGACATACGGTAGTGGGTTCCGAACTCAGGCGCAAGACCACAACCGTTCAAGTGGGATTCGACATTCTTCGCAGACAGTGGCTTCACGAACATACCAGCCAACTGGGCAAGCTTGAGATCGACTCCCTTCATGGCCTTTTCCCATCCCATCTTCTTCAAAACCTTGGCGCCTAAGAACTCGCCGGAATCCACGGTTGATCCGGCATACTTGACTTCATACTCGTATTCCTTGCTCTTGTTCATCTTTCGTCCTCCAACAAGCTCGGAGACGACCTTCTTGACCTTGGTGATCTTTCCAGAGTCCTCATCAACAAAGGTGAGTTCAAATGGCTTCTTCTGGAGTGCAAGTTCAGCTTCGGTGAATTGCAAGGTGACCTTGACCAGGGATTCCTTATCCTCTCCACCGTTAGCGAAACGCCATCGAATGTACTCATTGGGAGTCTTGTTCAAGTGATCTTCGATGTGATGGAAGGCGTGTTGGGCAACGTAGGCAACACGTGCGTTAGGGTGTTTCCATACATCACCTTCTTGTGGAGCAATTTCTCCAACAAGAAGCTTGATCATGGTGGATTTTCCGGCACCGTTCTCTCCAATACAGGCTACACGAGAGCTCAAAGAAACCTGAACAGTGATGTTGTAAAGGGTGGGCTTTGTGTTTCCTGGGTAAGTGAAAGTACAGTTACCCATCTTCATGAGAGCCTTACCCTTGGATTTGACTCCTTCAATAGGGCCAGGAGGAGGGAACGACATCTTGAGCTTTGATGCCTTCAAAGAGAAGAAGGAGCGAGCAGAAGGATCAACCTTCACGAACTCATCAAGGTTACCCTTAAAGGATCTCAACTTCAAGTTCTCGAATTTGAGGATGTTAGTACAGCAATCATTGAGTAATCCAGTGTCGTGACTGACCATGATGCATGTGACATTGGGGAGTGAGTTGAGGTATGTCTTAACCCAAGCGACGTTAATGACATCCAAGTGGTTGGTAGGCTCATCCAAAAGGAGGATATCAGCGTTTTGAAGCATAGCACGGGCCAAAGCAAGTTTCATACGCCATCCACCACTGAGGGTAGATACAGCGTGGTCAGGCTTGGCCTTACCATCATCCGTGAAGCCGACGGTTCCAAGAACCTCACGGATTTTGTCCTTTTCGATGCCAAGTGCAGCGATAGAAGGATCGATAGCGACGTAGTCGACGCATGACAAGTGAGATTGTTCTCCTTGAATATCAGCTTCGACGAAAACGGTCTTGACTTGGGAAACATCAGGGAAACCTTCGACCTGGTTGTTCGCAATAGATCTCATGAGAGTGGTCTTTCCACAATCATTTGGTCCGAGAAGTCCGTAGTTTCTACCCCGAAGAAGCTTCATCTTGGTATTGTGGAGAAGAATCTTCGTACCGTAGGCCAATGTGAACGTACAGTTGCACAGTTCTTCGGCATCATCGTCGTCGTCATCGTCATCAGGGATTTCCATGCTCTTCTCACACTCGACACGGACCTCTTCGATAACTTTCTCGGATGTGTCCTTGTCGAAGTAGATGGTGGCATAGGTGGAAAGATTCTTTGCCCACTGCAGATCTTCCATGTATTTTAAGTCCATCAGAGTAGTGGAGATAGTGCACAAATATTTGATGAGCTCCAACTTTCCTCCGGCGGCATCCTTGCAGCCGAACTTTTCCAAAAAGAGTTCTTCGGTCTTGCTGACATCTCCACGGATGGCAGCGTGCTTTTCGGCCAATCCCTTGAGACGGTTCAATTGTGCTACAGCAGTTTCCGTGACGGAACGGGCCTCGGGGTCAGCAATCGACTCAGCGTTTGTCTCCAACGCAGGCAACAGAAGCGGCAGGAAAGGAGCAGCATCGAGGGGATTGTCCACAAGCTTGGACATGTTGTCGATAATAACAGCTGCTTGACGCTTCGTGGCGGTAGACTTTTCACGAAGTCCTCGCAACAACAAAGGAACAACCATAGCTAATGCCGGGGATTCTACCGATTGGACGAAAGTTACTCCGGCCATGACGTGCATGATTTCGGGAACTTCCTTAGGCTTCGTGATGGCGGTCAAAATCTTTCCGGTCATGTGTTCGATATCACGATTTCCAATGACTTCAAGAGCACTCTTCATGGTTTCAGTAGATGCTTTCTTCACTTGTTTCTTTGTGTCCCACATACAAGCGGTCACCTCGGGTACGACAAGTGGAAGAGAGTCGGCAAGCTGCTTAGGAGCGACATCCTTGAAGAGGCCAAGACATTGGAGGGCAAGCTCACGAATTTGCCACTTCTTCTCAACGGGAAGGCATGCGAAGATGATAGGAAGGAGTGACTTGATAGCGAATGGAGTGGTGTTTTTGCAGATGGCGAACGCAGTTTCTTTCGTGGCGGCAGTGACATCCTTGCTCTTGGCAATGGCTTGTCCGAGGCAGGCTCCCAAGCAGTCCTTTACGAAAGGGAGTGCGGTGGGAACAGTTTCGGCCAACTCTTTGACAACTTTCAAGGCAGCCAAGGCCTCGGCTTCATCCTTGGAGGCGCATCTCGCCGATAATGTGGCCACACTGTCTGCCAGTCCCGATTTCACAACACCGTCGGCTTTTACGGTGTCGACAATGGAGGAGACATCGTCCATGGATAGACCAGCAAATTTTTCTTCGAGAGACATTTTTTTGTGTTTATCGAACTGTTTACTAGAGATGAAAAAGGAAAAAATTAAGACATGAGAAACATTATTCGACTGATAGGTTGCTGGGGAAAATGCGGCAGGAATGGAGAACACTTTGACAGATTCACAACTGAGGAGAGTTTTTGGAAATGACCGACATGCGAACTCAAATGTCAATCGGCAAATCCCATCTCCGAATCGATCGCCACTGCCATTGGTGCCTAGTAGATTGATATGTTGTAGGTATAATTCCGACGATACACCTGAAGCTTGTGATTCCTTGAAATAAGAAGAACAACTTCTTTCTTACCTAATCAATCAGTTGAAATGAAAATTGTGAGTGATTTCACGTAACATGGTATATTCGTTCGCAAAAGCATTGCTCCTCGAGAAAGAATTCAATCGCGCAAACAACAAAACATCCGACGGACGAAACGAGATTTTGTCGTGTGACGATGCTCTTAAAATTCACGAGTGGTGGAGGACGCACAACGTATTGTTGCACTTCGACAGACCCAATATGTGGAGGTACCACGTACTCACACGTTGCGCAATCGTGAATTTTCGTGTAAGAAAGTAATTGAGGTTATGAGCCAGAACGTTCTCTCGTGACTAAGAAGATTACGGGTATCGTACTTCTACTATCAATAGTTTTGATGTTCTTCGCTCCGGAGCGGAGATTCATTCATGCACGAATACGTCCGTACGGGTAGTAGCATTTTGCATTCAGTTGTGAAGACCTGGTTCGGACATCATTATTAGAAGTAGAAGTAATTTTTTACGAGCTACATTTGCGGTAAAATGACCCAGTTCGCCGATACATCAAAAACATGAATTCACGAATACATGTACCGGTACGAGTACGAGTAAATACGTACGTACCGTACGATATGTGTATTAGGGATTTTGTACAGATACATATTACTACTGTAGAAGTACAACTACTTGTACTGTACGGTACCCAAGTACCTGGTACCCTATGATTTTTTTCATCATCCTCTTCTATGGTAGGGTACGTACGTACCCGTACGCTAGTACGAAGAAGTACTTTACAGTACTAACGATAATACGGTACGAGGTATTAGTATGAGTCACTCGTACCGAATTTCCTGTAGCAATGGATTTACTGTACGGTACGGCAGGGGTCATATGCGGTACGGTACGTACTCTACTTCGTGATATTTTTCGTACTCGTACCACAAGGGATTACGAAGTACGGTACTGTACTTCTCGTACTCGTAGTACTACTTCTTATTAGACCGATTGGTAAAACCTACGGTACTGGTAGAGCAGTTTACAATTCGAAGATGAGCGGAGGAACGATAGTCAGTACTCGTACGTACAACTCGTACTAGCATATCGTCATGATCATAACACGAGTGAGTCCAGATTCGAGGCGACGACCAAAAGTAGAATTGCCATCAACAATCAACACCACAATTAATTGTCGATACTGTAATGTACCGTACGTACCTCGAGATCAGTTCAAGTCTCTGTCCGTAGTTTTCTTTCAACATCATATCATATTCTAAATTCGCGGTCAAGAAACAACCGGAGCATGCCCATACCCAAATCACACGAAGCAAATTCAACATGTCAGAGGTGTACGTGCTGTGAGGTATGTTACTGCGGACCAAATTGCCAGTGTACCGAAACATTATGTCGAAGTGAAGCTACCAGTGTTTTGAATAGTCTAGCGGGATCTTCTGTCGGAACTCGAAGTCGAAGTGTCAGTCCAGTTCGCAATCCTGGTGTGCTGGCATCGTGCTGCTCCTCGCCACTAACAAAAAATGGCAGCAATAACTACAATGGGCAGATTTCATACAACACATTCGGCAACGATAATGGAGTGCTCGGAGTAGAAAAAGAAGAAACGGAAATATCTATACGAGGCATGACGTGCAGCATGTGCACACGATCGGTCGAAGCAATTATTTCTGATATGGATGGCGTTTTTAGTGTGAATGTCTCATTGGCATTCAATTCGGCTCATATCGAATATGATCCGTCCAAGATCACGCGCGATGATCTTGTAGATGCCATCGAGGGCATTGGATACGAAGTAATACAACAACCGCCCAGTGCCAAAATAAACACACCACTTCAAAGTACCAGGATGATCGTAGAATTTATAGTGAGTGACATGACGTGCAGTATGTGCACCAAAGCGGTCACGAAAGCTCTTGAGATGGTCCCCGGCGTTGAAGACGCTGTTGTCTCACTGTCGACAAATCAAGCACGAGTAGAATTTGATTCATCGAAATCCACCATAGATGACCTGGCGGAGGCTATCGAAGACGTCGGATACGGTGTTCTCGAGAAACTCATTGTTCGTTGTGCTGGCGATGACAACGAATCAAAACCATTGTCCCGCGGAGCAGGGAACAATACAGTCAATTCTCCTGACCGAATCGACCGCATGCTAGAACAGCAGGAAGAGGAAGTCGCCAATCGAAAACGGGCATTTCTTTGGTCACTTATAGGGACCTTACCAATACTGATGATAACAATGGTGCTTCCGCATTTTCCATCTGTAAAGTTTGTTCAGTGGCTTGATCAGACGATAGTGATAAAATTCACGAATTATGACTTCGAGTTCGTGCTGGAGGCTCTTATTTTGTGGGTGCTTTGTACACCCATTCAATTTGGTTGTGGTTATCGATTTTACAAATCTAGTTACTATGGTTTGCGCCAGGGAGTGATGGGAATGGATGTCCTGGTGGCTGTAGGTACGACAGCGAGTTACGGCTATGCCCTGTGGGCAACCCTAACAGGAGGTATGGAATTCCATTTTTTTGAAACATCGGCCGTCCTGATATGCTTCGTCTTGTTGGGGAAATGGATGCAGACTCTGGCTGTTCGCCGAACCAGTCAAGCCTTGACACACTTACTGAAACTCCAGCCCAAGACAGCCATCAAGGTTATCATATCTACTACGAATGGCGATAAAAAATGGAATCCGCTGAACAACGATCCCTACAATGAAGAAGTCGTTCCTATCACTTCCATTCAAACAGGTGATCTTGTTAAAATTCTGAAAGGATCTAGTATTCCCGCCGATGGCATAATAAAGTTTGGCGAAATGACGGTAGACGAATCCATGATTACCGGTGAATCAATTCCTGTGTTGAAAACCCCTGGAGCAGTCGTCCTTGGCGGTACAATTTGTGCTGAAGCCGGTCAGGAAGCAGGAGCAAGTTTTTTGGAAGTGACTGGAGTTGGTTCCAACACAGCTCTTAGCCAAATCTTGAAACTAGTGCAGGATGCACAGAATAGACAAGTCCCAATTCAAAACTTTGCCGACAAAGTGGCAGGTATTTTTGTTCCCACAGTGGTTTTGTTGTCATTTTTTACTTTTGTAACCTGGTATGCATTGATCCAATGGGGAGTTGTTCCCCTGAGCCTTCTACCTAGCGATGAATCCCCTCAGACTTTTTCACTCCTTTTTGGCATATCATGTTTAGTGATTTCTTGTCCATGTGCGCTCGGATTGGCAACACCAACAGCTGTCATGGTTGGCACTGGTGTTGGAGCCAAACAGGGTGTTCTGATGAAGGGTGGAGAGACTTTAGAGCTTGCTTCGAAGATTGACTCTGTGGTGTTCGGTACGTTTGATCATGCGTCTACCTCTTTGTATTTTTGTCTTTCTGATTGACGATCACGGTAGTTGCACTCATCTCGTTCTCGCATTTTGTTTCATCACGAAACTGTAGACAAAACAGGTACGCTGACAAAGGGGAAGCCCGCTGTCACGGATTTCAGTTTGGTTGTGAGAGAGAACATATTTTGGGAAGAAGTTATCAATCGTGATGCTGCTACGGCGCTGAAAAATACATCCTCCCTTTCATCGAAAAGTAATATGGAAAGATGCCTGTTGTGGCTCTTAGGTTCCCTTGAACGGAATAGTGAACATTTGTTGGCAGCAGCCATTGTAGCTTACGCTGAAGACAGATTAGGGGGCGGGACCAACGATGTTGCCGAAGAACTTGCTTTTGCACAGCCCTCAAATTTTGTTGCTATGACCGGACGTGGAGCCTCGGGGAAAATTTTGGGAGAGATTGACGTTTCGATCGGTAATCGTGCGTTTTGCGAATTCCAGGGCTTCGAGATCAGCAAAGAAGTCGAAAACATCATGCAAGGATTGGAGCGCCAGGGCAAGACGGCTATCGTAGCTACAGTCAATGGCACAATAGTTGTAGTTATGGGCGTTGCAGATGAATTGAAACCAGATGCATCTGCCGCAATCATCTATATGAAAGAAGTGATGGGAGTAGACGTATGGATGGTAACCGGAGATAATAATCGAACGGCTCGTGCTATCGCTAGAGAGCTGAATCTACCATCAAACCGAGTCATTGCTGAAGCCCTCCCTGCTGCAAAGGTTGAAAAGGTTCAGGAGCTTCAAAGACATGGTAAAATAGTTGCTATGGTAGGGGATGGAGTAAACGACTCACCTGCCCTCGTACAAGCTGATGTTGGTCTAAGTATTGGGAAGGGGGCCGAGATAGCGGCAGAAGCATCGGACATGGTACTTGTTCGAGGAAATGTTAGCGATGTCTGCACCGCACTTGATGTGAGTCGAGTTATTTTTCAAAGGATTCAGGTAAGATGTCTTGAGCGCTTTTTTTTTCAGATCATAAACGATTAATATTTCTCACGATGCACTCTCTAAATCTATATCTACGTCGGACAGCTGAACTTTATTTGGTCCCTGCTATACAACTGTCTGGGCATTCCGCTCGCTGCTGGAGTCTTTTACCCACTTTTTCATACCCGTCTACCCCCAACCGTTGCTGCATTGGCTATGGCGTTGTCTTCACTGAGTGTTGTAGCAAGTTCTTTGGCATTACATTTATACCGTCCTCCCAATGTTCTTGGTACTGCATCCGGCCTGAATAATGAAACGAACGGTGGTGATCCTGATCTCGCATTACATGTCCCACTGCTTAAACTATCTTGCAGGGTAGGAGAGTGCTGTTCGGCAGATTCGGATCAGATGTCGAGTCTAGAGGAGGGAGTGGCTTAAAATACTGCTCCGAACACGAGTGCTGAAAAATTAATACATCACATTTACGGATAGTTAATTAATTTATGTATGGAGCTCTATCAGACCTGCCCCAAAAAAGCCGCTTGTTCTCCGGCAGGTTCTACTTCTCCTACCATAGTAACTTGATCTTCTCCGTCCTGGTGCATCGAAGCATCTCTTAGACCAGCGTGGAGTACTGTTAAGAAACCAGAGGAACCCAAGGCCCACCAGAAAACGCTACTCAKGATCCAAATTAGAGTGAGTGAGCTGACCACGCCCATGACAATGGTGGCTTGTGTTTGAGTGACAGAAAAAGACCCTATTTTTAGAGACCCAGATTGCGATGCCCTAATGACATACACCCATGCCATCGCCAACAATGCAATGCCAATGATGGCAGATGGAGTAACAAAAAGCGTCAAACCAAACAGAACTGCCAACATCAAAAGATAATTGAGGTAAAAAAATTGGAAGTTGTGTTTCAAGCGCACGAGCAACAAGGAAGGCGTTTTTTCGACATAAAAGGGACGTTCTTCCCCGATTCCAAAACACACAGAAACGGTTCGCAACCTTTCACGGCTGAAAAACTGCCCTGTTGTTTGGGAAATGTAGTCCTTTGTAGAATCAGGAATTGAAGCAGAAAATTTTGAAACGGCGTCGTTGGCACCAGACGAATCCCATTTTTCCTTGCTGAAAAACAATCATAAAGATTGTGGTTCGATTTTGAGTCATTCGTTTGTTCATTCGTCAATCAATTCCGTCGAGTCGCCGGGTGTTGATTGCAAGGACAGCAGCAGCGTTGACATTAGTTAAAAGGGTGTCGATTAATCTCAAGTTTCAAATGAAAGCAAAAAAATCATGCAATATCGACGTCTTGGGGTCACTTACGCTGTATTCATCACTCCGACGAGTGTGCCCATTGCCGATGCCGATTGACCCGGAGTTCCAGTATTCGCATCCATTGTGTCTTTGATATGTGGACAAGAAAATGGATGTAGTCTTCACTATAAGTGGTCGACTAAAAGCGGGAAGCTTTGATCAAACGATGAAAACACTTTCGCTACAACTCGATCCGCGTGACCAACTTGATTTGGTCTCGTTCTGTAAAAGTTTACAGCACTGTCCCGAGTGTTTTGGAATGAACTCGTATCGCAGCATCTCGCTGTATCAATAGACCACTGTTGAACCGCTGCACTTCGCCTCGTATCCAAACCTACGGTACGATACCGTTAAAATTATTATTGTCAACGGCAGAAATTTAAGAAAAACTACTAATGACTCCATCGAAGACTGCACCTGTGTCGTGTTTGTGTGTACAACGGGACTAGAACAGGGCCATCCGGAACCCATGCATGCGACCCCCCCCCCCTTTTGAATGCTGTACTTCGGGGGTAATCAGGTGGGACAAAAAGTGGGTTGTTTTTCTGATAGTGACTGATTTTGTTGAACTCTATCGATTGAGCAAACTTTATCAAGGGATTTGTAGAAATAAACAGCGTCTTTGTAAGCTGGGAAAATAAAACCATGAAAGTCTTCTTGTACCATTACTAGTAGTACAAGCTACTAGTAGTACTAGTGGTACTACTAGTAGTACTAGTAGTAACTCCCACCACTACTAACAAAGCTTTGCAGATTCACCACTCCTCCTCCTACTACTACTACTAGTAGTAATACTACCACTAGTGCTACGATTACATCACCAGTACCATGTTCCAGGAGCAAACTCAAACTCTCTTCTTGGATGGGAAAGTTGGCTATGATAGCACAACTCCAACTACTAGTACTAGGTGGCTAGTAGTAGTAGTAGTATTTACCTCTGGATGCCTGAAATGATGCAAGGATAATAATTAGTATGCTGGGCAAGAGTGCAGTGACTCAAATAACAGCCAAGAAGTAAATTGAAGATTAGCTGATGAAATTTGTTTTATTGTTCTTCCTTTTTGCAGTCTACTGTAGTCAGACTAGTCTGGGATCTGGTAGCTTATCGTACGTGAAAACACACTGTTTCCGAACGTCCCAGCCAAGCTGGATGTGCTCTATTGACGGAGCCATCGCATAATTTTTGATGAATGTTTCTTGTTTGCAACAACAAAGTGCCTGTTTTCAATTTGAAAAAGATTTTTGAAAGTACTATTACAATACTAAGACAAGCCCAAATGAATAGTAATGTCACAGTTATTGCAAATTACTTCTCTAGTGATTTGTCAACCTCGCGAAATTTCATGAAGAAAGCTTTGAAAAGCTCCAACCCATTAGATACTTTGCAATGTTGAAATAAGAGGCGTGAGATGAAGTGTTATACAATCCAATCAAACCACACAAGATTCGATATAATTCAGTTCAGGCTACTTCTAGACTTACAGTCACAAACTCCCATAGTTTCTCGTATCGAATGCATAGAAAGCTGCGGGCACCCCATATCGATCGCTCGAATACCTGTAGATGAACTTATCAAAGGGCCAATCGTAGATCCCTTCATGTTTTTTACGAAGTTTTTATCAAAGTGTTAAAAGTAACATGAGAAAAATTGAGAGGAAAAGTTAAGTCATACACCATAATTTTGGGAAGGCTACATGTTAGTTGAAGTCTTCTGTGCTTCCCTAGCGTCTGAAAAGCTACTTACACAACCACAATCTTGTCGGACGATGAATTCTTGAACCGGAGGTAGATTTGAACGCCTTGCAATTTCTCGCATCAAAATACCGGTAGCTGCCGTCGTCGCATATCTTTGGTTCGAATTTCGTTTGATTACCATTCCTGCATTCATCTGTGGCTGGTGGTTTTTTTCGTGTTTCGAAGCATAATTGGGATGCAGGGCATGTGCTTGATCGGAACTCAAAACGAAGGAATGTCGTACAGTAGCTTCGTATAGATCATGGGGAGCTACAGCTTGTTCCTCCTCGTTGAGTACTGAAGAAATTCTCTTAACAGCCTCTCCCAGAATAGGACTTGCTGCTCCAACACTGGAATGAAGAGGTATCAAATGAAACAGCAGACGTAATTAGGAAATTCAATTCATGAGGAGCACATGCCAGATGTTAATGTGGCGCTCATGCATTTTATAAATTATGGCACTCACGCGCTAGTACTCCCGATTTCTTCGTGATCGTACAACACCACCATGCTTACGTCCTCATCATTCTCCAAAAAACCATCCTGCTGTGCACAATCCATCAGTGCCTGGACCGCAATAAAGCAACTAGCGAGGTTGTCTAGCCGCGCCGAATGGACAAACTCAGAGTGAATACCACCTAAGGAAGCTTTTTGAATATCAAACAAGCTTAGTTCAAAATCTACGATGTCGTCGATGGGAATGCCTAATTCGCTGGATAAAAGTTGTAGCAACAGCGGCTCTTGATATTCCGTCCAACCATCTTCATCATCCTTCTTCGACGATACCTTGCCGTTGTCGCCACTTTCGCTGTCGTCGGTGTCACCAGACAATGCTTTTTGTGCCGCCTGCGCCAAAATTGGACTCAGGTGGTTTTCTTTATTGATCTTGAAGGCTTGAATCCAGAAAGAGACAAGATGATGTTAGGAATTACCACCATTTATGCCGATGGAAGTGACCCGATGTACGTTGCAAAAAACTTAGAGTAACGCACCTTTTCGTTCCTCGGCAGTTTCCAAGTGAATTGCCAGAGTAGGAATCCTCAAAATTGCTCGATCGATCTAAATCGATCAATCGATAGATTTCAGGGTGAGTCGATACGTAGTCGGATTCACAAAAGAAGAGAAATCCATCCAAAAGGCACAAAAGATACAAGGCACAGATTTAGTTGAACGGAATGGAAATCGCACAATCACGCAGCACGCAACAAGCGAACACAAGTCCTTCGTCGTGAGCAACCGAACGGGAAAGTGGACGTACCTTGACAAGCCGCTGATCAATAGATTCCACATCACCATTTCGATTTCGGCAAAACACTCTTCCAGAGAGACCCAAATCGCGGTCAAACCAAGTGTGCCACAAACCACCCCCGTAACACTCAGCCCCGATCTGAATTGACTTGGCATTCTTGTCGCTTCGTTTCGATCGAGGTTTCACCCGCAAGTTTGGAGAGTCGGTATGTCCACCGATTATCTTGAAGCCCCCGTTGCCTGCTTGAAACTTTTCACCAACGGTAAAGGCTACTAGAGAACTCCTGTTGCGTGTGTAGTAATATTTTCCACCACGGATAATTTCGACGGTGGTTCCTGTCTCGTCGAGTTCTTCGAAACCCGCTTCTTTCAACAAATCGATGGATGTCTTCACCGCTAGGAATGGATCCGACGACCGATCAAAATAATCCATTGCCTTCCTTGCTAAGGGAAGATGGTCGTGGGTGGTTGTCATGGGCGGCATCGTAATCGAAGACAATGCATGACACTTGCGGAACAAGCAACTACCGTTATCTGAAAGCAGTAACAGCACCGTCGCCAATAGATAGCCCGCCGTAGGATGGGTGCAATAGGGGATAATCATTTAGGGGATTGTTGGGAGAGGTAGAATCGATATGATACTTGGTTTGCGTCCGCTCCTCTTCTATTTGTTTGCGTTGTTGATTGTCTACCGACTGTTCGATGATCGATGATCGATGATATTGATGATGATTGGAAGATTGGTGACACATCAAACCAATCTCACCTTCACTGTTCTACGAGTACTGTACTCATGCTACGAACCGCGTACGGTTTCTACTATCCACGGCTCGTACCGTACGGCTTCGCTATGCGGAACGTACGTACGTACCGTCCGGATTCGTTTCGAAATACCGTAGGTTATTGTACTTGCTGGGATCACACGTCATCAGTCCGAAATTCGAAATTCACAATCCCGATTCTTCACATCGCACAAGGAGCAAAAATCAAAAACAGACCGTACGGATATTTCTACTTGTACTTCATATGGTACGTATTCGTACTCTTCTTACTGTCGTATCCATACTGTACTACGATCCTCTACTGTGCAGGTATTAATACGAAATGCAACAAAAAATGCAACAGTAGAGAATCATGTACAAGTCTACGTACGTACACTTCGTACTTCGCTATTATCCTACTCACCAGCACAGTATCGAAATCCCTCCCCCAACTGATGGGTGTCAGTTGGGAGGAAAAACTGACACAATTTTCGACAAGGCAAATTCTATGAAAAAAACACAAATCGTGAAGGTAATTCTCAACAACCGACGAYCACAACAATGACAATGGTGGCGCCCTCTTCTTATCAGCTATTCAACTTGCTCCTCTTGTTGAGGCAATCAAGCAACAAAGCAGTCACAGTTACTACTAACAATACTACTATCAAGAAAAAGCAGTCACAGTTAACATACTATTTAATGAAGCAAAGCAACCAAAGCAACGCATCGAAGCAAAGCAAAGCAAAGCAACGAATCGAAGCAATGAAGCAAAGCAATGAAGCAAAGCAATGAAGCAAAGCAACCAAGGCAAAGCAACCAAGGCAAAGCAACCAAAGCTATGAATCAAAGCAAAGCAACCGAAGTAACCGAAGCAACCAAAGCAACGAATCGAAGCAAAGCAACCAAGGCAAAGCAACCAAAGCAATGAATCAAAGCAAAGCAACCGAAGTAACCGAAGCAACCAAAGCAACGAATCGAAGCAAAGCAACCGAAGCAAAGCAACCGAAGCAAAGCAAAGCAATGAATCGAAGCAAAGCGACGAATCGAAGCAAAGCAACAAAGCAAAGCAATGAATCAAAGCAAAGCAACGAATCGAAGCAAAGCAAAGCAAAGCGAAGCAAAGCAAAGCAACCGAAGCAATGAATCGCCGAAGCAACCAAAGCAATGAAACTGAAGCAATGAAACGGAAGCAAAGCAACGGAAGCAAAGCAACGGAAGCAAAGCAAAGCAATCGAAGCAAAGCAACCGAATCGAAGCAAAGCAACCGAATCAAAGCAAAGCAACCGAATCGAAGCAAAGCAACCGAATCAAAGCAAAGCAACCGAATCGAAGCAAAGCAACGTCGAAGCAACCGAAACAAAGCAAAGCAAAGCAACGAATCGAAGCAAAGCAACGTCGAAGCAACGCAGCAATCAACCAGCC